GTATTCATACTGTCTTCATTAGGTTTTTGGAAAAACAATCTCTTTCTTTATTTTTTTTTTAATGTTTTATTTAGTTCTGAGAGAGAGACAGCATGAGGAGGGGCAGGTCAGAGAGAGAAGGAGACACAGAATCTGAAACAGGCTCCAGGCTGTGAGCTAGCTGTCAGCACAGCCCAACGCGGGGCTCGAACCCATGAACCGTGAGATCGTGGTTAAGTCAGACACTTAACAGACTGAGCCACCCAGGCGCCCCTGGAAAAGCATTCTTAATTAGTTCTCAGCTTCAGTCTCCCCATATTGTGGAACTGTCCTAGAAATTGGATTTAACATTGCAAATTCTATCCATCTTTGAAAATTTTTCTTTGAATGTGAAGAACTTAAGAAATTATTGTAAGATAATAAACTTCTAAAATCTATTACTTATTTCCTAACATGAAAGGAAGTACTAAGAAAGTGATTTTATATGTGTCAAATATGCAAGGTATGCTGCTGCAAAGCATGTAGCATGTTTTATTTACATTAAATATGCTAATAAGGCCCAAAAGTATATAATAAAAGTATATAAAAGTATATGTGCTGGGATAAACAGTATTCATTAAAACAAGAACGTTTTTGCTTGTGAATAAGACTACACCTCTTTGAGATGTTAAATATCCCCAAAGTACACTTTTTAACATGATTCCAATTAAAAGGTATAATTCCAATTAAAAAAATGGCTTGGTCCACATAGCTTGATTTACTATGACACTGGAAATAAGCAATCCCTATTCTCCTGGGTTCTACATTTGTCTCTATGTATTTCCTTTCTTTATCCTACGTATAAAAATAGATCTAGATTCTTCAGTATTCAATGGGGAGTTCCTTGGGAATTATTGATTGCAACATAAACCACCATCAGAGGGTTTTTACACATTATTTTCTCCAACAATGTAGCAGTCGCTTTATCAACCAAATCATAGATCAATGGCTTGTGAAGAGAAATTAAAACATATAAGAAAGACTTGTAGCATCCTTAGTCGTTCAAATCTCTGTGTGTTTACCATTTCGGACTGTTTTTCATTTGACCTTTAAAAAAATCAGTTTGGCTATATATAATTCACAACTTTCTGGCCTTTGTCTTATTTCCATTTTATTCTTTTTTTCTTTTCCTTCTTTCAATATGATTCCCGAATTATATTTGATAATATTCCCTGATTCTTACTTATGGCATAAATTCCTTATAGAATTCTTGAAAATACACTCAGACAAATTCACACCCAAATTCCCCAGTAAAGATCAAATTTGTGAAATTATTACAGTTTCAAAAAATGTACAAAAGTTTCTAAAAGCTATCTTTAGATATCTATCTAAAGATATATTATTTATATTCATATCTATAAAAATCAATGAAGGAAAAACTCAGTTCACACTTAGGTAGGCTTTAAATTCATATAACTTACTATGCTAGGCATTATGAGCAACACAAAGGTGGGAAAAAGACATGCATATTGCTTGTATGTTTCTTAGAATCTTACTGGTGCCTTGAGAATGAAGCAAAGCAGTTCCTCTGAGTTGTGAGAGCAAGTCATTTTGCCCACCATATGTTATTTTTACATATTTTGTGTAATTTTAACTTGAAATACATGAGAGAAGGATTTATAATTTGGGGCACTTTTTTTTGCCAGAAACAATTTGGAGACATTTCAAGATATCTTGTGAAAATCTTATATATACATTCTGTGCTGAAAATATATATGATAATCTTTGTAAGTAAGGCCTCTGGGTCATATATATAAATATGGAAGCAGCATAGTTTAGGAAACTATTGTGACCATAACTTTATAGATGTACTTTGTTCACCGTACTGTTAGAAAAAAATGCTATTTTGAGTAGTTGCTGACAGCTGCCTGTAGGCAAACTATTAGTGCAATCAGTTAAGCCAAAACACCAATCACAACTGCTTTTTAAGACACTCGTTTTGGAGCTTTTGCAAGTATTCTTAAATTATGCCCATCTATAATGTGGAGATTCTTCTCCTCTATTGGACCCCAATTCCATATGGTATGAGATAAATGACAAATGTCGGAGACTAAATATTGTTTATCTTTACAAATAAATATGACGTATGCTTCTCAGAACATTTCTTATGCGTACAATTGGAGTATGTGTACAATTTGAGTATTCTATTGTCTTGAAGTTCTCTGTCTTTAGCCCAAACATGTTGATGTAAAATATACAGCCTCTACAACGTCCACCATAACCCACCTCAGCCATGAGGAAAATAAAATAAAATCTAGGAATGCTCAGGTGAACTTGGGCTCACACACACAAAAATAAATTTTCTCCTGAGCATTTCTGCAACTCTCCTTTATAACTCCAATGCACTGTTGAGAGATTCTGCTCTTCCATTATCTTCCACTGAGCATGTGGCTCTGGGCATGGATACAGTTCCTCTTGATAGGTACAATAGTCTAAATACCACTGCTATTCTTTTCTAGAGGATTATGCTCACTCTTCCTCACTTCTCTCCCCTCCTTTATTCTCCATTCCTTGTCCTCTTTTCTCTCTCTTTTGCCTTCCTCTCATTACATTCTTCTTTCAGGAATAGAAACTCCACTGTTGTTTCCTGATCAATAATGAAGTCCCCCATTGGTCTCTGCAGCTGTATTGCTGTCCACTGAGGACAATGGCATCATGGAATTCAGCTTGTATGCTATCCATCAGGGAAATAAGAGAGTACATCTTTCCTTTTTGTTCTTCTTTTTCCTAGGCTGTTCTAGTATAATATTCTTTGTGGATAAGGGTTTATAATTTTGTGGTTTTTAAAATATTTTAAAGGATTTTTTTTTACATACTTCTTTCTGCAGACTTTATGGTTAACTTATTGATATACTCATAGGGCCTAAGTCCTTATTTCTTGATATGAGTCCTTTCCTAGGAGATATCACATTTGTAGTCACATCAACATTCTTGGGTCAATATATCAGTTTGGCAATCAAGTCTATATACATCTAAATCCTACTATTGGACATAACTGACTTAATTTTTAATCTCTATTTACATATGTTTTTGAATGGGACAATATTAGGGTATATCATTGTCGAATAGAGCCTAGGCATAGATATATTCTTTATCAATATGTTGTAGTGCACCAAACTGGTAATTATTGGTTCCTAAACAGTTTTCAATGCTTATGTTATTTAATTAAGCTTCTCTGGTTGGCATGATAAACATCATTGATTTATAATATAATCAGCATCAAATTTGTTTTAACATTTTCATTATCATCCCAATAATAATATTCTGTTTGAGTTATTCAATAATTCTGTTGAATTATAACTTTTAAAAAGTAATGTTGGTGACATTCACAAAAAGGAGATTTTGCTATTGTCTCAGTTATATGAATTCTGATAGAAATATCCCAGCATATAATTTATCAGAAAATTACAAAGAAGATTCAGAAGTTACAGAAAAAAACTTCAGATTCTTTAAACATAAATTGTAATAATTGTTGGGGGTGGTATATTTGAGATATTAGTTTGAACAGGGACATTTCAATATTTATTTTGTACATTTAACATTTGTTAACCTGCTTACATCTCAGTATGGAATGAAGTCATTTTAAGCTGCCTATTTTTTTCCACAATCAGATATCATATTACAAAGTGGCTTTTTTCCAAGTGTTTTATTTTTTTAACTGAACACCTTGCTGTTGAGTTTTATAATTCAATCAATTTTTTCTGAAGTTTTTTTGCTGGTGAATATTGCAATCATCTCATATGTTATCTTCAGTCTCCCCTTGCAACAATAAAAAAAAGGTAAATGAAACAACAAAATAAGACTTCCATTATAACAGTATCATTACACAAACTCTTAGGGAAGATAGTAAGAAAAATTCTATTCTGTTGAAATTATTGGTTTTGTAAATGCTTATGGTATTTATTACCTAAGAGTTTATAAATAATAGTCATGTGCCTTAATGTAAAAGAAGAATATGGTTGTTCATGTTGTTTTTGTCATATCTCCCTTTTTAGTTGTTTTAAACTGATAGTCATATACAGAATGGTCAAGGGCAACAAGTATAGACAAATGAAAACCAAAATAAAAATATAGATTAAAAAAACCCTAGATATATAAGTGCATTAATGAGATATGTAAAGGCAGGAATAAAGGGGTCATTTATCATCAGAAGTGAAGCCATAGCATTGCACATTTATGCTTTGCTAAACTGCACAGGAAGTTTTGTGTTGAAAGGGCTTCGGGGAAAAAATTCTTGTCTCAACTTTGAATTAATGTTTATATTCTTATTTTTTGCAGCGTATTTGGAAAATGAATTTTTCATTAACATTAATCCAGACCATTTAGAACAATTGTTAATTGGTTGGTACTGCATTTTGTCTTTTAAAATATGTCTTTCCTAGGGCACTTATTTTGTTTAGTACATTTGCACAATTCTATTCTTTCCTTTTGCCATCCACCAACCTATTTAATAAGCTTAACTTGTACTAATTCTGATTGTGTCTGAATGTCTCAAGACTATATAATTTCCCTTTAAAACAGCATTTGCTTATAAAAAGGAACTCCTTGCCATTTAGTTTCAAAAGAAGAAAACATTTACTGTACCAGATCTTACAGTAAGGACATATGTCAAATTGTTTGGATGTAAAACATCAGTTTTTTACATCTTTTTTTAAAAGAATGTATACTAAATCTCTCAATTCTATAATAAGTAGGCGGTTGTTCTTGAGTTTTCTCTTCACAATAGCTTAAAAGAGCATTTGAGCAAAGATCCAGTAACAACCAATTTAAACGTGATTGCTTAAAATGATTTCATTCTTTCTTCACATCTCTGGATATACATGATGTTGCTAATCCTGCTGTTTCATTTTGAAGACAGGGCTCGATGCTTGAAGAAATACAATGTGGTAAAAATGTTAAAAAAGAAATAGCTTAAACAATATGCTTCCATCAAGGCAAACATGGCGTGTGTGTATGCACATACATATGAATTTATAATGTATTAATACATGGGTATTCAAATTATTTTTTGTGTCATCTTTGCACAGGGGCCATGTTAATCTCTGTATCATTTAATTTTAGTATATGTGCTGCCAAAGCAAGTACCATTGAAATGAATTTTTAAATTATGAAGGATGCTGTAATAGAAGTTGGAAAAATAAATGAATGTAAAAGTCACTGAAAACATTATAGAAATAGAAGAGAAAGTCTTAAGACTTGAATTGACCTCTATCTGTCAATAATTAAAAAATCTGTAGCTTCACTGCAGGTCTTTCTTCTGAGTTCCAACAATATCTCCACTGTCACTGGATATACCACATAAGGCTCAAAATAAATTTGTAAGAAACTACTGTATATAGTGGCATCTTTCATACTTTATTACATATAGCCCCTGCTTACACCTCATAATAAGCTTTAACAAATTTAACTAGTTCTCAAGGGATCATCTATCTCATTATTTTGTACACCTAAGCTATGGGCCTAGTCAGTTATTCCTCAGTCAATGGTAATTATTCCAGAAGATAGACACCTGGCCCAAAGAGACCCAGTAAGATCCTTTCCATACGTTTATTTTAATTTGGTTTTTCTTCCTCTGTGATCATCACCTCCAAATTACAGGCAGCCACGTTGCCACCCATTATTGGGAACTATTTGGGAATTAACCTATGCAAGTAAATCAGATCCAAGATACGTAGAAGGAGAAAAGCAACTTGAAGATACTGGTTCTAGCAGTAACTGTAGTCTGCTAAGTCTTTGAAAATATCAGAGACATGGATATCTCTCAGTTGCCTATCTCTCGCAACTGAGAAAATCTCGTCTTTACCACTCATTGTTATCCACAAATTTATACCTCCCTCTTCATTAATAATGGGTGATGTTACCATCTTTGTTTTCCTTACTAACCTCTGATTTGACCTTGGATAGACTTTGAGTATAAAGTTTTTTATCTGTTAAAGGGAAAATACAATATTCATAGTCTAGCATTGTTTTGAGGAAAATGAATCCGATGCTTGCACTGAAATAGTAGTTAGTTATTCATCCAGATGACTAAAAATCACCTTTGATTTTTCTTGGTCATTCATTACTTTTTATCATACTGCGTACATCCCTCTTAATCCACTCTTCCTTCACTCTTACAAATTCAGTTCTCAGTAGATATATTTTGTCGGGACTCCTGGGTGGTTCCGTCAGTTAGCATCTGGCTTCGGCTCAGCTCATGATCTCACAATTCCTGGGGTCAAGCCTGGCATTGGCTCTGTGCTGACAGCTCAGAGCTTGAAGCCTGCTTCAAATTCTGTGTCTCCCTCTCTCCCTACTCCTCTCCCACTTGTTCTCTCTCACTCTTTCTCTTTCTGAAAAATAAATAAGCATTAGAAAATTAAGTAAGTATATCTTGTCAATATACTATGGAGCTAATAAGAAACTCAAAATTTCAGTGGCCTCCAGTGATAACATTTCCTTTTCTCTCCTGTTAGATGTCAGCAGTTGCTGGTAGACCACTACAGCTTCTTCTCCATGCAGCCTCACATTCTCATCACTGGGCTGAAGAAGCAGCCCCGCTTTCAGACATACTGTCATTGTTGCAGAAGGAAATGAGTGAATGAATGATAGATATGCCCACTGCCTCTTAAAGTATTTCCCTGGAAAAGACAGTCTGTTACTACACTCCAGTTCATGGGTGCAAGTCACCTGGCCAAGCTAGTCAGTGGGCCAGGGAAGTATACTTTACCTATAGGGAATCACTGAAAGCCACATGGAGGCTAAGGATGTGTTATTTTCCTAGAGCACAGAATAAGACAATTTACCACAATCAGGCTCCATTCAAGTCTCATCTAACTTATGGTTATTACCTCTTTACAGGGCTTCATTCTAATCTGTCAAAAAAAAAAAAAAACCCTGCTATATATATATATAAGTACATGATGTATATGTATATATGTATATTTCTAAAACACAAATCTTTTCATACCACTCCCTTTTTCCCTTAAAAATCTTCATTCTGGTTTCCATCATCTTAAGAATAAAATTCAAACTTCTTTGTGGACAATAAATCCCCAACTTGTTTACTTTCACCTGTTGACACCACTGCATATGTTAGATTCTATTTCCTATATATTTTTCATTTATCTCCATAGATTTACATATGTTTTCCCCCAGCCTGAAATACCATCTTCTCGTCTCAACTCGTTCTGTTTCTTTTCAAGGGTTGTAAGGCAAGAAAACAAAACTCCAAAACAAGGCAATTTTACTTCATGTAGTTTTGGTGGCCACCCTCACACCATTCGACAATTGTGCTAGACATTATTGTAATTATATCTTTCTCCCTTAGCAAGCAAACCAACAACCTGTATGTTTACATCAATGAATATTTAGTGCCAATCTTGACAAATAATACAATAGAATCCAATTTAGATCCCCGCAGACAATCTTGTCATTTTCACGGTGTCATGTTGTCAACTTGGATTGAACATCTATTTATAGTTCTTCCCCATTTAACTTGTCACCTTCACTATAAACAGCTTGGGAAATGAGTAGAGAAGAGCTTTTGATTTTTGATATATCATTTGAAGAATTATCTCCTAGTTAGTCTAAAAAGGTCCATGGATGGGGTGCTTGGGTGGCTCAGTTGGTTAAGCGTCCGACTTTGGCTCAGGTCATGATCTCACAGTCATGGGTTCGATCCCGACGTCGGGCTCTGTGCTGACGGCTAGCTCAGAGCCTGGAGCTTGTATCAGATTCTGTGTCTCCCTCTCTCTCTGAACCTCCCCTGTTCGTGCTGTCTCTCTCAGAATAAATAAAAATTTAAAAAAATTAAAAATAAATAAAATAAAATGGTCCATGGACTAATTGAGATTTTTAAATATGTACTCTTTTCCTCTTTTTAAATATACTCTCTTCTTCTTTTTCCAACCATTGCCTGTGCTATTGTTTTTCTATCCTTGATCCTTGATTTCACTCAGTTAGCTATTATTCTTAATATAGACTTACAGTGAAACAAAAAAGTGCACGTTGTGGAACATGAACTAATTTGAGAGCATACTTTTAATCATTATTATAAATGTTCAAAACTACCCCCATGAGATCCGTTCTCTTATTATCTATATTTAATTGATGTGGAAATTGATTTAAAAATATATTAATTAATTTACCCAATTCTACACAACTGGTAATCTCTAGGAAGATAGCAGGAGTCTCTAAGGAAACCAGTGAAATGTCTCCTTCGTTCTTTGTTTCTGTTTTAGATCAAGTGACCAATAAGACAAGGGAGTCATAGACAGAAGCTATGCCATCACTTTTGTTGATGATGAAATCTAAGTTGGAGGACAATGCTTATGTTTACAGGTAAGTATATCTACTCATGTCGGGCTGTGATTGGCCCAGGACAGATCTCACCCAAATAAGTTAAAGTCATGACAAGAAAGAGCAAAAGAGATAGTCTGCTCACTTCAAAGATGTTTCCAAGAGGAAACTAGGGTGAAACCAAACTATTCAGTCCCAGTGTATTATTACAAAATTTATCAAAAAGATATGATTTTCTATGTCTTTCTGGGCAGAATGAGTGAAGTACCAAGAAAGACCAGTCACACTGTAAAATCCTTTACACCTTGCAGGAGTAGGGCTTCAGAAGTAAAGAAATATTGCTTCCTAATAATGATTATTTCATGTATTTTTTCTCACACTCTTCTGCACACCCCATTATGTTGGGCTGATGACTTTGCTTCATACTTCATCGACAAATATTAATAGCTAACACTTATACTTACTTGAGGCCAGACACTGTTCTAAGAGCTTTACATATATTAACTCTTAATGAAATGGAAGCAATCAGGCAGAAACTTCCTCTGTTACATAATGCCAAATCTACAAAACTTTTTCTTTTCCTACTTGTATAATCTTTCTTTAATGTTACAGTAGATAAATTTTTCTGCTTCTGTAATGGCCAAACATACAATTTCAAACTCATGCTCATGAATTGGATCAAATCTGCCCTTACTTTCTAAAAACTTTGCTCCTGAAATTTTATTTTTATGACTGAATCTTTAATAATTTGCTTCCTTCTCAAGTTGAACTGTTGCTTCTCCGTTTATAAAACTAATTTTCCATAAATTAATTATTTTGAAGGGCTGATGAAATTCCTGTTGCTATTTACGCAACTCTTCTTCAGTATTCATCTGGCCTTAATTGACTTTCCTGTCAAACATTCTAATGACACCAGTTGTAACAGATTCAACAGTTTCCATAATATAAAATCTTGTGAATATTTTTCTCTTGGCATCATTCTTTTCTTTTTTTCAGTTTATTTATTTATTTTGAGAGAGAGGTGAAAAGAGATCAAAAGAGGGTGGGGAGAGAGAGGGAAAGAGAGAATCCCAAGCAGGCTCTGCATTGAAAGCATTGAGCCTGACATGGGGCTCAAACTCACAAACCTGTGAGATCATGACCAGAGCTGAAATCAAGAGTCAGAGGCTTAACCTTCTGAGCCTCCTAGGCACCCTCTCTTGGCATAGTTCTTAATCTTAACATCATTTTTCTTTATTTAGAAATTTATCTCTCTTACAGTATATTTCTTTTTTGATACAGTATGCTGAGCTGACAGTATTTTCTGTTATTCATTTTTTTAAAAATTTTTACTCACTTCATCCTTTTTACTGGGTCCTCTCTTTTATAAGTAAATCTAAATGTTGGGATGTCCCCGAACACACTTCTAGGCCTGTTTCAAAATAGTTTTTCTAACTACTTTCTTAATAGTTCCCATTGTTTCTTTTTAATGTTTATTTATTTTTTTTATTTTGAGAGAGAGAAAGAGAGTATGCATGCAAGCAGAGGCGGGGCAGAGAAAGAGAGGGGTGAGAGAGAGAATCGCAAGGAGACTCCACACTGTTAGTGCAGAGCCTGGTACGGGGCTTAAGCTCACAAACCATGAGATCATGACCTGAGCTGAGATCAAGGGTCGGACACTTAAACAACGGAGGCACCCAGGTGCCCCCATTGTTTGTTTGTTTTTTAAATATTAGCATGCATCATATCTAAAACTTGATTGTCTTTTGCTCAGAAAGAGCAAATTTGCTCCCCAAATTCTTTCTGTCTTAACAAGTGGCCCCACC